CTCCTCGGATATATATATGGTAACTCTATATGCCGTGATTAGTGAGTGTAAAAGAGATCCCGAGAGAGAGAGAGAGAGAAACTTTTTCTCGGTTGCGCTCACCACGTCGCAAATGCAAAAAATCAGTCAGAGTCACGCGTACTTATGCGTACGCGTAAAAGAGGCAACGAAGCGTCGAGGCTGAAGAAAAAAAAAAAAAGGGGGGGGCGGACGATGTAAGTAAGCGAGAGAGGATAAATAGCCGGCTGATCGGTAAGACGAGCTGTGCAACAAATGCACAAGTAATACTATAATCTGGCTAGCTAAGAAAAAAAAAAAAAAAATAATGGTACTGTTAGCCATACACATAATCACATATGTATATGCATCGAGATGCGGCTAGTTGATCGAGCTATAGCTGCCATGGCGCGACGACGATCGTGTTATACGTTTAATACTTGTTTTTCCCCAAAGTAAAACCTGGCGAGTTGGCATAAAATACCAACCAATACGTGAGTAAAGAGAAAAAAAAAAAAAAAAAAAGAGAGAGAGAGCACATCCATTCATCCGTAGAAATAGAGAGAGAGCGGTGTTTACCGCTCTTGTTCTTGATCGGCGGTGGCACCGAGGTCCTTCTGTTCTTTGTAGCGCAGAAAGGCTTCGTAAAATTTCTGGGTGGTGGCGGACGCGTTGTTGTCCTCCTTGGGCCCGGCGGCGGCCATGGTGTTCACCTCGATCGAGCGGACCTGCTTCTCCAGCTGCGACAGCGCGTCGTCCTTGCCCTCCTGGCACGAGCTGCCGTTTGTCGTCACCCCCGTGTTGTTGTTGTTGCCGGCGTCTACCTTGCGCTGGCCTATCACCATGTTCAAGCTCACGGGGCCCTGGCGCTCCGGACCGGATGGCGCGCTCCTCGGCGCCTGTGCCACGGACCTCCTCCCGTTCACGCTCATCATCTTCCTGTCTCCCACGGTGCAAAGTTACGCTCGCCTCCTCTGGTTTATCCAGTTGTAGCTGCTCCGGAGTCTCGAAAATCTAAGCCTCGCGTTGCAACCGCGTCACATCCTCGGCTGGCTAATTGTTCAAGTGCTTTTTTTTTGTTTTTTTTTGTTTTTCCTTTCGAGTCGCGCGCAACTATCGGCAGATCCTCAACGGCGGCAGTGGGCAACTCTTCCCGATGTCTCGGTACAGGCTCCTGAGATCTGCGTTGTGGGACACAATATTGCGCATCGTTATAACACGTCTGCAACGTCTCCTCGGAGAGGCGAGTTTTTTTTTTTTTTTTTTTTTGCTCGCTTTTCATTGCCATTCATTCACGACACTGACGGGCTTCTACGCTTAATTATTATATCATTGATGGCAAAAAAAAGGAAAAAAAAAAAAAAATTAACAAGTAATAATTATAACGATAACCACCACCATTTGCACCCCACAAATAATAATATACTACGTATTTGTTTATATAATGTGTGTGTATATATTATATATGCAATGCACAACCAACCAACCAACTTGAATGTACATAGAGTTTATTCCACCAACTCTTGCGCGATGCTCGAGCTCTTGGGCTCATAAATCTTGTAAGTATGTAATATTTACACTCGAGTACAAACTGACGGAGAAGCAGAGATAACGGTGAGTAATGATAACGATACATACAGTGACATAGTCGTCGTCGCGATGATGATAATAATAATGTATAGAGTTTACAAGAGACGAGACTGAGTTGAGCAATAGTATTATATACTCGTATGGATGAAAAGCTGGTTTTTTAGGGAAAAAGTTGTAACGATAGTTAATGAGTCACAAATAGAGAGGAAGTCGTGTAAAAATATGAAAAACTACTTGCGTCCGAAGCCACTGGCCCGCCACCTCAAGCGCCTATATACCTTTGTTTGTTCCAAAAGAGAAGCGAGTAAGTATATATAAAAGAAAGAGCGTGGAGTAGAGAATACATATGTATATATGATAAAAGAAAAAAAGTTATGTAGAGCGGAGAGCAGGTTACCCGCAAGAACTTGGGAAGGGGGGGGGGAAGAGAGGCCCCGGCAAGGCAGCGAACCGCGACTGCGCCGTACAATAAACATATATATACAACCACCAGCCTACATTTGTATTGTATATACATTGCCCGTGGCAGCTGTGTGCGCCGCGCACTCTGTATACAATACAAACTCTATCGCTTAAATAAAAAGACCGAATCCACCGACTGGACGTTGGTATACACAAGTAACAATTATTTTTTCTTCTTCTTTCAATTGCTGCCGCTTTTTGCCGTGACTCGTGCCTTTGATAAGAGACAGCGCGGCGTTTCTTATCACTCGAGTACAGAATATATTGTACCAATAAGAGATACACGCACGAGCAATGGGTGGTAGGTACTGTGACTCTCGCGCGGATTGCACCGCGTTATATATATATATTTATGTATATGTACGTAGACCCGCGGTTGTTGTAATACACTCCGCTTGAAAGACGAGACTTTCATCTTAATGTCCGAGTTCACGTGACGTTGTGTGGGTTTTTGTAGAGGCAGAAGCTAGTTCTCTTAATTGACGAATCAAAGTATAGGAGACGCGCCACGTATTCAATGTACAACAAGGAGATTTTGTTGTTGTTGGTGGTGCTGCCACGTGGTTTTGAGTTGTTTGCGACACAGCGGTGTGGATTCATGGATTTCAATTAATAAGTAACAATCGCGTTCTTTTCCAGTTTATATAACAGTATAAAACGCGCGCAGTGTTTTTGATACGTCGCGAAAGTCATTTTTCTAATTTCCAACATCTCGCACTCTCTGATCTTACAAGTTTGAATTTGAATATACATATTTGGATATTTTGTTTACATGTTTTGAAAAATGATGGTTGCATACATTATTGCGGTATCAATTAGGGGAAGAACAGTATCGTATGATTTGCTCAGTCTTTAAACCACCGAAGCACCAATGTGTAGATTATAAAAAGTACGTATAATAGTACGGAGTGGAAGTAGAATGCGCGTATTTTTTTCAACATTTCTCGGAACGTGGCGTTAGCTTTACATCATTATTGCGAATGTAAAACGCAAAGGAAGTGCAAACCGAAGGTTCAATCGATACAATGGCTTCTCGTGACAGTATAATACAAGGCGTAAAGTATAGATGTATGGGCAGTGCAGGAAAAGAAAGCAGCAGCAGAAAAAAAAAAAAAAAAGTTGTGTACACCCATTGGTTTGAATTAATGGAACCAAACGGCTGTAGCAACTTTAATACAGATAAGAGTAAATTGAAGAATAACAGTAAGTACGCATATATTACTAATTGATGCTGTTGGGAAAGAGAAACAAATATTTATGTTATCGCTTTTGTAGAGGTATCCGCTAGCTGGTACAAAATAATAGTCATAAAGTAACTACTCTTATCTAGAAAATACCCATAGTCGGCATCTTATTGTATTTATCCAAACTATTTCAAGTCACGAAAAACATTTGTTTATCAATTCTTGTAGAAACGATCAAGTACTTTCTGGTATTTTTCTCGAACGACAAAATTGTTCGAGATTTCAGAAATATTTTCTACTACTTGGACTGTTTAGCTGTTATCAATAGTTATTTGTCTCAATAATCAAAAGTAAAAAATCAATTTTAAGTTTTTTCGCTTGTTTTATCAACATGTAAGTTATGGTAAGAAAACAAAACATAGTTACAATGAAAATTCGAAAGCATGCGTCTTTTCAACGCATCACCAAAAATGCCATTGGTAACTTTTGCCTACGTGTACCTATAAGCCATGATAGTAATTTATGCATTGAACGTAATGCAATTCCCATTTTTTTATTAAATGAAACGTTTAATTTCACCCCAGCAGCGAAATACAGTCGAGAAGAAGAAACGTTTTCAAAATAAGCGAAAATAAATCTCGATATTGACCTCGTGCTTTTACTTGGACGCGTCACCGTATCCTGAGGGCAAACGAGCACACTTTTAATCTACAACAATCATTAGTCAACGCGACTCGCTGTTTTATGTTTCGTGATGCCGTGACATCATTCAAACGACACTTTCTCCCTCACACGAAGCATCACACGATAAGGTATAAGTATACGTCTGCCCCGTACGAGTAAAAACCTACCGTGACGTTGGGTCTGAGTACTGGCGACGACAACGCGTCAAAAATTTTGTTGAAAACTATATGTGATGAAGTATTTTTCCTTTGCACCGCAATACAATCACACCACAAAAAGTAACTATCACGGACACGCACGCACGTATACAATATACACTGCACCGTTACGCAAAATGATGATTTGTCACTTTAAACAACTACACGTGTATCGCAATATTATCAAATAGTATGTAATTATAAAAAAAAAAGCTCAGCGCTATAGCAACGAGGCACACCGTTTATAATGTAACATACAGCTGCTGGTGCTCCACGATGAGCCTACCACTACCAACTAACGCACAAAGTGATTCTCGTCGCCTTTCTCTGCGCCTCGACGTGCGTTTGTGTATTAAGCGCATACATGTAGGTACAATACGCGTCGCCGTATCACAATGAGCGTACTATACTCACCTATACACATGCAATATATACACACTAAATAAGATATTGTCCCTCTAATCGCCTTTTTTTTTTTTAAGTGTGACATTTTCCAATAGAGGCGCGACTCGTGCTCTTTTTTACAGCACAAAATATATAACGATTGCGATAAGACCGAGAAGTGAGCATATACGAATGTTACAAGGGGGTAGGGGGGAGGATAAACTTTGTACACGATGTTTTTTCCATTAAACGCGGTTCTCCTCGAGCATAATATTATAATAACAACAATATACCCCGTAATAACAAGCATAATGCGTGTACAATATTATAATATACGAGGTAGCTCGCGGGAGACAGCTGTCAAGGAGGATCGAGTTACAAGCATCAGATCGACCTTGCAACTTTACACTTGTTGAACGATCCGCTCACGTGGATGTGCTGATGCACATTGCACACTTAAGCACATGGGTGTTGTAAGTTGTATACCCACGATCCGTCGATGCAGTCCAAGTGACTTTCTATACAAGCGATCCGATCGTGATGAGGGAGGTTTTTTTTTTTTTACGAAAAAATTGTCGTTCCGTCCCATTCGCGTCGCCGGATAGGTATATAATATACATACACACGGTTTTGGCGGAGGCGCTCCCTCGTCCCCACCCCCATCCAACCGAGTTTTCTGCGGCCGTCTCCTCTCAGTCGGTTACATAATGTTACCCGTGGCTAATTTTGTACCGAATTCAACTACATTCTCGACCACGTGCGTACACAATATACACCTATAAGTACGCATACACGTGCGATCTTTCTCTACATCCCTGGATTTCGGGCGTCGAACGCGTATATGTATATACCTATTTATAAAGGTATGGTATATAATTTGAGCTACCGATCGCGGGTTATCGTATTTAGTGCAAGCATTACATTTATAGGACGAGATGAAAAACACCTGGGGCGCCAAAATTCAATTGTTATACCACGGTTTGCCGGTAATGCGAGTGCACAGTTTTTTCCAATACCCTTATCGTGTATATACATACGTTACGTGCATCGACATATATCGTGACTGCACGTATATATATATATATATATATATACACAGCGAGAAAAGATAGAGATTTATCGGCAAGGTCGACTTTCGGGGAAGCGCGAGTACAACGCGCGGGGTATTATCGCGATACGAGCCGTGCATCTGCACGATCACACCGCCGTCAACAACATAATATAACGGACCGTCGACTCATACGAGGACTGCAATTGACTGCAATTAGTTGAATCGTTCGGCTGTCTATTTGTTTTTTTTTTTGTTTTTTTTTTTTTGCCGCGACTGCTGTTATTATCGTCATTAGTCTTGCGTATATGAATCGGAATCGGATACGGCTCGATGCGGCCTATACGAATGCCGACCGATTTCCCGCACGGCGACGGAAATCGGCGCATAAAATACGGAATCGAGCGTATATTATATACAATTCTGGATGACTGAAAAACGCTGTCGTCGGAAGAAGAGAGAGAGGGACTCGAAGGTGTACGAAGATCGGCAGCACGATCGGCAAGATCGGAGACAGGCGAGGAAGGCTTTTGCACCATGAGTCACCCAACACTCTCGCGAACGGAGCGCGTTTAAACGCAATACATGTATATATGACACTTGGGTGCGAGCGAGGTGGAAGAGAAAGAGAGAGAGAGAGAGAGAGAGAAAAAGGAGCGGAAGAAAGTGTCGGTGTGTCCACGTATATATGCACGGGTGTATACGCGTGTGCGTGTGTACGTACCTATACAATAATCATAATGGCGATAGTAGTGTATAAATGGGCAAAGTCAGCCGAGCATAGAGAGAGAGAGAAAAGTCGGAGCCGAGCGGAAAGCCCGGCTGGGACGACCAAGCAGTGCGGGCACTCTGGGTTCTATATAGTAATATACGCAAGTAACCTGATGTAAGAAGAGAAAAATATATATACGAGAGAGGGTCACAGAGAGAATCGGAACATAGTAAGTATGCAGAGAGACGCAGAAAAGCGTGAAGGCAGGCGCAGGCAGGTATAAGGTATATAAGAGAGCGAGAGAGTGAAAAAGAGAGGTAGTAGACACAGAAAGGTGCGCGAGTAGGTATGTGTATAATACACGTATTATACACTTACACGCGCACTTATTACACGCTGCCTACTGCTCTTGTTCTCCGTCCGTCCGTCTGTTTTTAAATATACTTGGGCTGTATATTGGGAGCCAAGCCCGATTTACAAAAGATAATGGAAAAAAAAAATAAAATAAAAAAAATGAAAATTAAAAGCGACAAACGAAGAGAAAAAGGGCAAAAGCGAGAATTGTAAGCAGGAAGGAAAAGCCCAACACGCAAATGGTGCGACATGTAGGTAGGTGTATATACGCTAAACAGGTATCGTGTTCGATATATATAATATAAGTATATGTCGGAAGAGAGAGAGAGAGAAAACTCACTCGTCTCCTGAGAGCGATCACCATCCTCGCGGGTGCTTTTGCTGTCGGTATGGCTGTCGATGGCTGTAACGTACAGGTTTGCGGGCAGAGGCGCAGCCATCCGGCGACGAGGCACGTAGGTGTATATATATATAGGTAGTACACAGATAAGAGCTGTTGCCCGAGACACAGCACACACTCGCAATCACAATCTCTCGGCTACAGTCGCACGTATTATCTCCGTGGATGTGTGTAACTTGCCTTGCTCTATATCGGTACACGATCGGCAGCAAAAATCACCAACTCTTATTGTTATTTCTTCAATTTTTCTTCCATTCGTAATTCAATCTTTGCTTCTTCATTTTCTTTGTTCCTCGATGATGATGGTTGGCGATAGCTGCAGATGATTACACCAGGCGCACAGGTATAGAGTGTACAAATGAGCACCCGATAGTTTCACCAACTCCGAAACAATCGACAGAAACGCGACGAAACAACTCTCGCGCACACATACACACAAGTGTTGTTTTATATTACGTGCCACAAAGTCCGGGCCCTCTCTTCCTGCGCTCTCTTTTGCCTCTTCCTACGTCATCCGCCCACCGGAGTGTGTTTTAAACCTTGTGTGTGTGTGTGTGTGTGCGAGCGCGTGTCCGGGCGTATCGATATATATATACCGCTCTTGGGCCGCTCTCTGCTGTGTATTATCGTATACGGCAACGTGTAGGTACCGCTGTTGGCCGTGTGCTCCGAAAAATGAAAAGTCGAGAGGTGGAGGCGCCGCTCTGCTACCTCAACCCAATCGTTACAACGCTGCGCAGGGACACCGGTGTCGATCGACGACGCACCAGTTGCACGAGCTTTTGAAGAACAACACGTTTAAAAGTACGTGCACGGAGAAGGGGGGGGGGTGGGGCACACCGCACTACCACTTGTCACACATGCACTCGCGAGGGCCTCTATGGCATTGACGTGGATGTTATACGTGAGGGATGGGGGGGAGGGGAGGCGGTGCGAGGAAAATCACTGGATACGATAGTTTGCCCAGAGTGCACGTGGCAGAGGCTCTACGAGCTTCTATACCGATACTCGACGCATATAGGGACCAGTGAGAGCCGACTCCGCTTTGAGCCAGCGGGTAAAAAATTGAATCAAAGAAAGAAAGGAAAAAAAAAAAAAAAAAAAAAAGGAACGGAAGAGTCCAATCGGCGTCGTCGTCGAGGTGCACGCGGCACTGAAGACGCGGCACGACTGCTGTTGGTCGGTGCGTCGCTTCGCGGTGCCGTGATACTCGTAAAGTCGTAAGTATATACCTACAGTTAGCCAGAGAGAGAACAGCCCGAGCTCGGTCTTTCTCTCCGTGCCCGGCGATGTTGTAGCTGCGGCCACCGCGACCAGCGCCGTCGCGAGTGTGTGCACACCTACATATTATATACAGCACAGCCAGCGGAGCGTGCGGTAATGTTGTACCTATACACTCCCCGAGGAAGAGCGAAAGAGAGGGGCCTCTTTTTCTTTCTTTTAAAAGGCCCCTCCTCTGCCTCCTCCCCCTCCTCCTCGTCGACGACGCACTCGACGCTCTACTTTGGCGAGAACGAGTCATCTTCTTCCGTCTCCTCTTTCTTTCTTTCTTTCTTTTGTGCAGCGCCCCCGGCTCGCGTAAGATACCGATTTATACACCACCGACGCTCCCGTACCCCAAGTGTATAATGTTACATTGGTTGCAACCATCGTTTCGGTTGCTTTATTTTCTATACATTATATTATGCTCTGTACAGCGGAAAAAAAAAAAAAAAAAAAAGGAGAGATCGGTCCGAGGTTGTGGCGATGAATCATCTCCAGGATACGGTAGCTGCATCGCGAAGAGTATAATTTACACGGGGTGCCTCGTATGTGCGCTCACGTGATGCCTTTCTTGCCGGAAATTAGCGGTTGCGGGAGTTTCTTCCTCGCGCGTCAGCGCATCTAAAGGCGCTCGCGTGCGAATTGTGCGAGCAGCGCGCCCCATCCGACCGACCATTTCATTCGAGCGAGCACCGTTTTTTTTTGTTTTTTGTTTACTCTCTGCTCAGCTCAGCGTGATCCCAGTCCCTTCGTCCTATATTTTTTCCCTTCAAAATGGGCTCATGTACAGCTTTCAAAAGCTCCAAACCGATCGTCGACGCGCAGCATGTACACCGCAATGAAATCGATCAGAAAATCGGTATGAGCAAAAGAGGTGCTAAAACCAGCTGCACACCGTATCGCAATTAAAAATAAAACGCTAGAGAAAAAAACAATACGCCTCGAGCTCTCACGTTTCGCACCGTAAAAAAATTCCGTGGTTCCTGCCTCGTGCGTTTTTTCCACTACCGTATTGCACACACGCACTTTTCCCCGGTGAATTTATACGTGCGCGTACAACAGTAGCAGCAACGATGGAGATCGGCGATCGACCCTCGCTAACGGTACTGTATATACACACATATAATACCAACACCCAAGGCCTCTCTGCGTTGTACATTATACCTGTGTATACATATATACATTTATAAAGTGACACACGCTCCGTTCATTCAGCAAAGATGGCGTTACCATGCTATCACTGCGCGTGAAGTTGTTAAAACTATCGTCAGAGAGAAACCCGCGACCTTTGCTTCCTATACTCACACGCCACACATATATCTATATGTATATGTGCTCTTCGAGCATTGCACTTTATGGTGTAAAAAACAACAACAACAACAACAACAACAACAACTTGGCTGTTGTGCGTACACTTTCTCCTTCGGTACTTATGCCCGTGATTTTCCACAAGAACGGGTTTTCTCTCTCACATGTACACTCAATCATTCTCATTATGATAATGATGCCTGATCCAAGATTATAAAAGTAAAAACGCCAGACGAGTCATTTTCTTATATTATTTCATTACGACTATCTCTAGTTTTTCCTTCTACTCCTCAGATCGGAGTACAGTTTATCTTGTTGAGGCTTCGATACCCGCGGACAAAGAATCGTCATTATCGATTACGCACAACTATCGTGTCTAGTTGATGCTCTCTTGGAGGCAATAATTGAAAGTAGGTAAAGTATAGCTCGAAAAGTTGGCAGGTGTGTTTGTGTGTAATGTATTCTCGTCATGTGCTTTTTTTTCAATTCTTATATAAGTACATTGTTGTCTGTACCGCCATTGTAGTGGTACTGGTTTCATCAGAGTTGTTTTTTTGGCACCTGTGCGGAAGGAGTACAAAAAAAATGTTTAGATTTAAAAAAAAAAAAAAAAAAAAAATCTCAGATATGATTCAATTTATTCTCCAAGAATACTGCGGTTCGCGTGGTTATTACGTGCTCTCGACACTTTCATTTTCTCAAAGAGAAAGTTGAAATTCACGAGGAGTGGAGATTGTCGCTGAAAACCATTTTCACTGAGAAATCGCACTCGATACTATCAAAAGAAAACATCTTGCGAAAAAAAAAAAAAACCTTAACTACTCGTTAAGTATTTACTAAATTAATCTTGATTTGAGTTTCATAAAAACATTAGATTATTGTCTAACAACGCGATGTAGGCACATAAAATTGTAGAAAAGTGTATAAAAAATAACCAATAAGTAATACTACACGTCGAAATTAATGTACTTGATAAAATTGAATCGTAAATATTTGCTGAAAAGATTATCTTGTGCAAAAACATTGCGAAACATAGCGTGACTTACTATTACTACTATGGACTAATTACCTAACTCTAACAAGAAGATTTTATAAAAACCATCGCCAATAATAAAATTGTTGATATACAGCCAAATGTACATCATTATAAAAAATGTTTATACAAACAGTTCACTGTGTAACACTTAAAAGAAACATATTTGGCATACGTCAAATAATTAAAATAACACAAGCGCATCGCTAATAAGGTTTTTTTAATAGAACTGCCACACGCTTTAAATAAGACTAGATGTGGGATAAAAATAAACTCACATTCCTAGTAGTTCATCCAAAGTTCGAGGTTGAGTTTAAAAATAGTTAACACTTTCATCGAATCGAATTATAAATACTAGACAAATATCCATACTATTTAATTGTATTACATTTTGAACACATTCAAACTTTGTTACAGGTGTTTATTTCTACTTTTCTCTTTATAAAAATCACAAACTATGAGAAAACACTTATTTTCGACAAATACCGAATATTTCTAATTATAAAATTTTTTTTCCATACCAAATAAATTGGTTCAAATGGTTTTTGAAATGGGCATCTTGTTTGAAGTGCGGTCAAAACAGTTTTCGAGTATTAATATTTAACGTTGTAGTTTGACATTCTGTGAACATTTGACGAATTCACTTTTTTCTGCCGGAAGTCATTAGTTAAATGCGACCGAATGATTCAAAGAAATCGTGTAAATAAAATGCTCGTCGTGTATGAATTATGTTGAGAATAAAACACAACTCTTTGAAAAACCTTACAATATGGAAAATATGAATCATTACTATTCGAAAAGTCAGAATAAATAATCTAATTGCATCGTTAATGCATTTCCTGCAAATAATGAGCCTTTTTACGTAACATTTTTGAAAAAAAAAAAAAAAAAAAAATTCATACTCTCCATTTCTAGGAAAGACATCATAATAAAACTGACTGGTTGACGTCAGCAAATTTTTGTAATCATATCACTGTACATAGACAATCGCAAACATCAGACATTTCGATCTTATCAAATTTTAATTACATTATAGAACCGCGTAATTACTACAAAGCCAAATTCATGCCTTAGAAATTGGAAATTTTTTTTTTCCTTCCCGTATCGTTTCATGTAAAACATAATTTCCGTACAGATTACCATGAAAACTCATACATTTTTTACTTCACAGTATTTATATAAAGTTATTTTTATACGTACAAACGCTTAAGAAATCAAACGTCACTAAGTTCTAGGGCTACGCTTAGCTTATATTATGGAACATTCAAGAACGTTAAAAGTCAAGACTTTGCTCTCACACTGCAAAAGAACTCGATAATGTTCATAAAGTTTTAGATATTTATAAAACGTTAGATCCGATGCAAATAATGTGTTTTTAATAAACATGATTTGATTTTAATTACTACAGGAAGAAATCGTCAACGCCATTTATTCGTTCTCTAATAAACAAACTATTCTTAACAAAACAGTGAAATTATGACACTGTTTTTATAGCTAAAGCTGAGAATTACACTATTGTTTTTTAAACATAAAAAAAAAAAAAAAAAAAGATTGCAGTTGTCCATCAAAAGTTCTCCCGCCAGACGAGCAAAGTGCACGTAATGTTCTGTTACTTTGTTTTAAAGCTGCTTCAAGCAGCAGCAGCAACAGATAAGCTTTAAATTTCCTTAACTTGCAAGTCAAAGAAAAATCGTTGTTCTCGCTAACCGCGTAACACACAAACGTACAGTAGCTGTTGAAATACGTCACGAATCGTATCCTGAAGTAATTTTCTCGCTTCGTTCCAAGCACTGCACGCGATGCATTTGCGTGATCTGTGTGCCTTTACAGTAGTTGTATACACTAAAGTGAGAGATTCCACAAAAAACTATCTATGATTTAAAAAAATATTTAAACCAAAGATTTTGTCTCGGATTTTGTACGTCTAAAACCGATACTATTTTGTGTGATAAATTTTTTAACAAGTGCTAATCGAAAATCGAAAATACGTGAGCTAAAGCAAGTTATCGAAAACTTACAAATAAGACTTGTTAAATAGAAAAAAAAATAACTAATTAAAAGTGACGATTATTCTTATAAATTAACGAAATAGGTAACCCTGAGAATATTCGAATAATCATCGGTTTTCTTTTAGTTATTAATATTGTTTTTTGATTAAAAAAGTCTGATTTAAAAACTTTTTTTATACACAACAAACTACAACTCACAGGAGTAACCATTATTTTACTTTACGTGTTTTAGATTTCTGACCACTTCGTACCAGAAATATCTACGGGGAGTTTTTCCTTCTACTCCTCAGATCGGAGTACAGTTTATCTTGTTGAGGCTTCGATACCCGCGGACAAAGAATCGTCATTATCGATTACGCACAACTATCGTGTCTAGTTGATGCTCTCTTGGAGGCAATAATTGAAAGTAGGTAAAGTANACAATCCAGTTTCGAAAAAGTAAAAAAAAAAATTCTATTTTTACTTTTTCTTAGATCCACAAATGGATGATTTTTTGTGGATTG